GCTCGCGTTGGGTACGATCACCGTGAATGGCGGTCGCAGGGAAACGCTGGTTAATGAGGAAATCGGAGAGCGAGTCGGCCATACGCTTGGTCTCAACGAAAATGAGAGTGAGACCAGTGCTGCCGTGAGTGTGGAGAATGTCCAGCAGGACGGAGCGCTTGTCGGCGTCCTCGACGTACTCGACCTTCTGGGTGATGTTCTCGGAAGTACTTCCAACACGACCAACGGACAAGAAGATGTAGTCCTTGAGGAAATCACGAGCAAGCATTTGGATATCGCGGGGGAAGGTGGCCGAGAACATGAGAGTCTGGCGGTCGTCAACACCGGGCATATCCTCACCCTCAACAATGCGGCGAATTTGGGGCTCGAAACCCATGTCCAGCATGCGATCAGCCTCGTCAAGAACGAGGTACTTGATGTTAGCCAGGGAGATACGGCCACGCTCGATCAGATCAACCAGACGACCGGGGGTGGCAACGAGGAGATCGCAACCACGCTCGATTTGACGAAGCTGAGAGCCGATATCGGCACCACCGTAGACGACACAGGGGCGAACCCACGAGCGGTAAGCGAACTTACGGGCCTCCTCGAAAATCTGAGAGACCAATTCACGAGTAGGAGCAAGAATGAGGGAGGTGGGGTAAGCCTTGCGCTGGCGGCCGTAGCTGAACTGACCACCACCACCACCCTGAACAGGGGCGGCAGAAGGACCGTTCTGGAAAGCCTGAGAAAGGATAGGGAAGAGGAAACCACCAGTCTTTCCGGAACCAGTCTGGGCACAGGCCATAAGATCACGGCCGTTCATGACGATGGGGACGGAGTACTTCTGAACGGGGGTAGGAATGACATAGCTGGCCAGCTTGATGTTGGCGATCAGGTGGTCGTCCAGTGGAGGGTTAGTGAACTGGGTAACGGGCTCTGGGACATCATTTCCGGAGGCCTCGACGGGAATATCATCGTAGTTGGAGAAGTTGATTCCAGTCTGCTGCTTGGTGGGGTCGTTGGGAACACCGAACAGCTCGCGCTCTAGGCGAGCATTGGCGGGACCGGGAACGTGCTTGCCGTCGCGCCACTGGCCATCACCGGAGCCACGAGCTTGCGCGGAGCTGCCACCACCGCTGTAGCCGCCACCGCCGCTGCTGCTGCCACCACCGTAAGAGGATCCTGGGTTTCCGTAAGCATTGGGATTGAAGGGCCGGAGTTGTCCGTCAGGGGTCCAGCTGGTCATACCGTTCGCGGGGCCACGAGGGCTGAAGTTGGGAGCGTTGGCGTTGGCCCAGTTGCCACCAGCGTCACTAGAAAACACAAAATCAGTTGCCGTTTCAGGAAATTCAGTCTTTTGGGTACTGTACCGAGGACCACCGAAGCCAGGTCCAGGGGGAGGAGCATCGGCGCTAGCACTGGGGGCGGGACCGGGGGCGGGACCAGAACCGGGACCACGCTGGCGAAGGTGAGGAGGAATGTAGGCAGCACGGCCAACAGGGGCGTTACCCTGGGGGGCGTGCTGAGACTCGTTGAGGGAAAGGTTTCCCATTTGCAAACCGTCGGCCATTTTTGCGGTAAATGTCTGTTGCAGAGCAAGAGTTAGAAGCTGTGCGATGTCGACCGAAGCAGGTGAAGGATATTGCGTACAGTTTTTTTTCTGCTTCACCGGGAAAGATTCGTTCGTCGTAGATAAAGCGCAAGTGATCTGGAAAAGATACTTGCAGAGAAGAAGAAATCCACGTAAAGTGTACCTTTAAAAGAGAGAGAGACGGTGAAAAGATCAAATCGCTTTTCTGTTTGACTCGATAAGAAAAAAAAAGATCGAGTGACAAGCAAGAAAGCTCAGAAAAACCACAGAGAATATGGAAAATGCAAATCTCCCGAATCTAAGAACTCTAGAGAGAAGAAAAGAGAGAGTAGTGAAAAAGGGATGATGGAGAGGGGTTGAATCAAGAGAGAAGAGAACGGGTGGATGAAGTCTGTGGGAAGGAGGCAACAAAAGTTGGAGAGTTGGGGCGCTGTGTGGCTATTGGAGGTACTTCAAAGGAACTTAAATTGATGGTGTGACTTACAGCCTAACAGAAGTACCTATCAAGTACTTACCGCCACTGAAGAAATTTCTACTCGCCAGTTGCTGCTCGCGGGCGGTCTGGATGCCTTGTATGACTAAGACAAGAGGCGACCCACTCGGAAGCCTTTTGATCTGACTGGATGATTTTCCAGAGTCCACCAAACTATATCACCACCTACGTGACCAATGTAACATTTATTGAGTTATGATGATGATAAGTCAGAAATATAAATCCAGGTTTTTAGGGAGGGAAAGGGGGGAAAGGTCCAAAAAATAATGTATAGTTGATATTAACATCACTTATGCACCGTACTGTTCTTTCTCTTGCTGTTGCTGCTGGCCACGCCGACGGGCAATCAAGATACCCACAACGGCGACTAGGACGAAGAAGATCACGGCCGGCTGTAGGGAGTAAGATGGCGTGGTGGCTTCGGGAGCATCGGGAGTCTCGGGAAGCTTGTCGGTGACATCCGGCTGTTGGTCGAGTTCTTAAGATATCCAACATCATCAGCCCTTCCGACTAGCAGCAGAGAAAATATCGCGCAGACAGTCACCTGTCTAGAGCTCATCGCGGCTACCTTTGTCCTCGGTCTCGGGCTCAACCTCGAGCTCACCGCTCTTCACGATCTTAACCGCCAGCTTGGGCTTGTCGCCGGAAGCCTTGGGAACGTTTTGGATCTTGTCGACAATCTCGTAGCCCTCGAGGACCTCGCCGAAGACGACATGGCGGCCATCGAGCCAGCTGCGTGGTTTCAGTTAGTTATTGCGCCAAAGGTATCACTGCAAGGGACACGAACGAGGTGACAGCGGTGGTAATAAAGAACTGAGAGCCGTTGGTGTCCTTTCCGGCGTTGGCCATGCCTAAGAATAATCAGATCTCTGTGAGTTTTGGCCAAAGAAGTGTAAATGCCTACTGAGTTGGCCCTTCTTGGTGTGACGCAGCTTGAAGTTCTCATCCTTGAACTTGTTGCCGTAGATCGACTTTCCGCCAGTGCCTGCATACATTTAGTATAATGAATTCTAACATATTTGGAGCTTACAAACCATCGCCCTTGGTGAAATCACCACCCTGAATCATGAAATCCTTGATGACACGGTGGAAGGTAGAGTCCTGGTAGCCAAAGCCCTTCTCGCCAGTAGCCAGAGCGCTAGAAATGGGTTAGCATATGCAGGGTAAACATTGGAGGCGTTGATATAGCAAGTTCACCGTACCGGAAGTTCTCAGCGGTCTATACAAATAGTACTGTCAGCAATAATTCCCAATTGCTCATTATCCGTGGGGGTATAGTTCAACCAACCTCAGGGACGGTCTTGCCATACAAGCCCATCACAATGCGACCGAGGGGCTCATCTCCATGCTGAATGTCGAAGTAGACCTGTGATCAAAAATCAGTACCGCGCATATATATAGACCGACATAAAACATCAATGTCAATCACCTTGGAAGTAATCTTAGGGCCGCGAGGCTCCTTGGACTCTTCAGCCTGAACCAGCGCAAAGCCGACGGCGAAGACCAAGAAAAGGGAGACGAAAAGATTCCGGAAATACATGCTTGCTAATTGCCACTGCTCTGATAGGATACAGTGAAAGGGGAAGATGAAGCAATTGGGAGGGGAAGAAGGCCAGCTTGCAATGGCGTGCGGAGAATAGACGTGTTGGTGCCGTGAAATTCAGGCATGAAACAACTCCGGAAAAACGTTAACGTTGGCGGAGGATTTCTCCCGGAGTTCAACGAGAGCAACAAGTGACGGCTCCATACGATTGTCAGGACACCAGCCAGCCAACACAGTTCAAGATGGTATGATACCTACCGTCAAGGTATAATATACCCTCCAAAGAAAATCTGCTAATAACTCTTAGGTTTTCATTCTTGGTGTCAACTTCCCCGAGCGGAACCTGCTCAAGGCAAGCCAACCCTCACGATTGCGCCCGCAATTTCGATATCCCAACCCAATTGATCACCAACTAATATGCATTGAACGCAACAGAAATCTCTCGAGACCTTCTTCGGAATCGGCGCCAACAGCTCTGGCCGCCTCATGTCCCGCTTCAACATCCACCCGACCTGCCGCGTCGGCGAGCTGGCCAACAAGCAGGTCCTCGACCTTACGGCCGTGCTGTCCGATATGAAAATTGAGAATGATCTGCGCAGAGAAGTTCTGAACGATATCAAGCGTATGAAAGAGACCGGAACTTACCGCGGCCGACGTCATGCGTTGGGCTTGCCTGTGAGGGGACAGCGGACACGGACTCAAGTGGGTTTCCCTTCTCGCCCTCGTGCTCTCTTGATATGTCAGCTTGTGCTGCTATATTTTAAAGAGACTATGCAATGTCATGGCTAACGAAATCACAATAGATCAAAACTCCTGTCAAGTTGAACCGCATGGAGCGCAGACTATAAACTTGATGGTGTCGTGTTCGATTGTTACTTTTATGGGATTGTCTCACTATTTTGCGTGAGAGGCATGGATTTGGCGTTTTATTGATTCCTGGCACTCGACCTTTGCCAGTTTTTATGTGAACAGAACCCCTCTGTGGATGTATTATAGGCTAGACATAAAACCCGAGGTGAATGGAAGCTTCAAAACAAAATTATATCCCAGGTTATATATGGAAAAGTGGTTTTCACAGATTTAGCTTCATTTCGTTCTCTTTCTGCCATTTACCTACCTATGTTGTATGAACATGAGAAGGGGGAGAAATTATCTTTGAAAAGACCTAAACAGAATATCTGAAAAGACATCACAAGGCCGCATAAGCGGCCAACTATTCTTGTATGTATATGTACGGCAATGTCGTAGGAAATGTTAGGTTACAGTTTGATATATATCCAATTCCGAGCTAAAGATATACGCGAAGACGGAAAAGTAAGTAGGAAAAAAATATGTGTAAGTCTAAACTTTTGCCCTCAACCAAGTGTTAAACGCCAGGCCCATATGTGCACTCATGCCTGCGAAGACAGCACGCCTTCGCCGCGGTTGATTTGGATCCGCTTATCCTCACCCGCGCTGACAATGCCCACCGTCTTGTCCCAGCACACGCTGAACACCTTGACACCTTCACCACCAACCCGCTTGCTATCTGACTTACCCTCCTCCTCGAGGCTCTTCCGGGTAATCGAGTAAACACTCTCGCCAACAACACCTTCCTTGTCGGTCTTGGTGGACCGGATATCCCAAATTCTGCACGTGCCGTCGTGGCTACCGCTAATGAGACCATATGTACTGTGGGGGTCACGGGCCAAGCTCACAACAGCGTTGGTGTGGCCTCGGAGAGTCATGGCAGCCACAGTCGTGGCAGATGCACGGGGATCAATCAGAGTGATATGGCGAGCGGCAGTACCGGCAGCCAAGAGGCTGAGTTCGGGGAGGTGCTCAAGCGAGAGGAGCGAGTGTGATGTGGTGCGAGTATCAACCAGAGCACCAGTGACCAAATCCCAGGTCCGCAGGGAGTGATCCCATGAGGCGGAGTAGCCAACGGTGGCATCTTTTCCATCGAAAATAGCAGCAGAGACTGGTGCTGTGTGAGCTGACAGAAGGGCCAGAGGACCACGCTGTGGTGTGCTGACGGATGTGTTCAGCTTGCGACGCTTCGTGTTCCGAGCATTGCTGGAAGGAAGCAAGTTCTCAGGTGCTGCCGGAGCATCAGCCTTCTTAGTTGACCAGAATCCAACGTTGTTGTCTGCCGAACCAGTCAACAGACGGTTGGACTTGGCGTGAACTGCTAGTGACTCGATTCCAGCCTTGTGACCGTACAGCTCTAGCTGAGGAGAAATTTTTCCAGTGAAACCACCCTCACCCTCGGTATACTTCCACAATCGGACCGTGCGATCAAGACCTGCCGATGCGATCTGGTTCGGGGAAACGAACTTAGCGGCTCTGATAGAGGCGGTGTGGCCACCATCGGCGGCGGCAGGAGAGGTTGCGATAGTCTCAGACGACATATTCCAGATCCGAAGCAGACCATCATAACTTCCTGATAGAATTCTTTCCTGGCCCGGGGTGAAAGTCGCACCTGAGGCCCAGGATGCAGCAGGTGAAGTCGTGGAAAGGACGTCTGTCGCGCTAACCCAGTCATCGTGCTGGAACGAGGCAATGTGCAGGGGGGAATCAAAGCTCGAACATATTCAATCTCGAGGGTCGTCTCAGCAGAGATACCGTTGTCGACCAAATATTCATCAATCGAGGTTCGCAAAAAAGTTCCATTGATCAAAAACTCAAATGGAATGGGCTTTTCGCTTGAAAGAAGGTTGTTCACAAGTGTCGACAGCGCATATCGTCGAAGTCCTTTTTTAAGGAAGGGTCAGTACTTCATACTACCATTTATGATTTTTGATCGGCAATGGGTCTCTCACCAGTAGGAACAAGAATTGGGCCGGTGCTTTCAGGCAGAGCAATATCCTCCTGCTGACTGATAAGCTGCACTCGAACTTGTCTCTGCGCAGAGTCTGCCGCAGCAGAAGTGACCAAATCTTCACTCATTGTAAAAATGTTCAAATTGCTGCCGATGTTGCAGATGGAATCTTTTTTGGTGGCTGTCGCATTTTCGGCGGGTGAGGAAAAAATACGGTAACCTGTGCGGCACACTTGCGCAGAGCGCGGAGATGGCTCCACTTGTTCTACATAGTTGATTGCAATACAGTGCAACTTTAAGATATATCTGGTGAATAAATTGTATTTCTATTGTGTGAATGGTATTTATCCTCTGGGGGCTCTTCGAATCTCCGAAATAGCACGTCGTCGGTGATCAGACTCTGCAAACAAGGCCTCGATCAGATCAATAACTTCCTCAGCAGAGAACTCCAAGCCCAACTCTCCCTCGAGCCAAAGGAATTTGATATCGGCGAGGGAGCTTTCCAGAATGTTGATCATGTATTGGAAACGGAGCCAGCTCGGGACGTAGATGGCAGTGACGGGTAATGCCTCGGCATCACCATCTGTCTCAGGCCTGAAGAGGTCCTCCAATTTTGAGAGTTGGTTACAGAAGGAGACGAGTTGCCGTGACTGATCCTCCGAGATATCGCCCAAATCTTCGATGTCGATGACCACCTTGTTGATCACGGTAGACAAGAGAGATCCAACTGATTGGAGCAGCGCGGAATGAGACAGTATGGGTTGCCATTCCTTGTAAACATCGCGAATTCGATCGACGGTTGCGCTAACAGAATTCTCACAGTCTGCCTGGAATGGCTGCTCGGAGCATTGTGCAAATCCTTGGGCTCCGTCAAGCAGATCTGTGACGATCGTGCGCTGCGTCTGCATCTCTTTGCTATACGCAAGTTTGCCAAATTTCTCCAAGGCTTCAACATCGGGCTGAAGTCTGGAGAGATCATGTTCCTCGACCAGTTTCCGGATTGCCTCGGCAAGGTACAGACTATCATTATAAAGGTACATCTGCCCCGAGGTAAGCTTCAGCGAGTAGAATGTGGATGATGTAGCTTTGAACATAGCCAAGATCAAGGTTGGCAGTGCAAGAAGACCAGCACCAGAAGAAGCGACGCGGGAATTGGAATGGCTGAGCTCTAGTCAGTTTGAGGCCCAAAAATATGGAAGAAAGCATGATCGGGATGGCATGACTTACGCAGGCTGCAAAATATCCTTGGAATCAGTGATTTGCTGCTGAACGACCCCAAGAACAGACTCGGGGATATCGGTGATCGTGAAGACTTCCTTCAGGGTGACCTCTTTTGGTGATACAAATCCAGTTGCATCCTTCTTGTTGGTTGGTTTTGTCGTTGCTGTATTCTGGGGCTGCGAAGGCTTATTGTCGACTTTATGGTCATCTTCGTCCTCGTCACCCCAGCCCCAGGCATCATCGGCGTCATCATCTTCTGTAGAAACAGCTGCCTCTGGTTTGGCCTGATCGGGAGTCTCCTCAGTCTCCTCGTCGTCAAGACCCCATGCACTAACGTCTTCCTCTTCTTCCTCGGGCTTTGTTCTTTCTGCTTTCTTGGGCTCATCTTCTTTGTCGTCATCCCAGTCCGCGTCCCAGTCATCGTTGCCTTCATTCTCCAATAGAGCACCCTCGGCCTGAGAAACTTTTTCCTTTTCAATTCGTTCCACCTGTTTCGTTGTTCCCTGACTGGCAGCAATGACTTTGCGAACACTATCAAGCGAGTCGACTCTACGCCGAGTCAACCACAAGCGTGGAGCTTGGTTGACCCACGAGACGAGTTCTTCTTGGCCAGTCCAACCCCAAGAATCTATCTGCTTGGTGAACTGTAAAACATGGTTCAGGATGTTTTCAAACTCGGCGAGGCCATCTAGATCGGTGGGGATAGCAGGGGACAGCCACTCGGAGATCGCCTTGGAGGAAATGGTCACAATGAACGATTCAGAGAAAGTTGCGGACACCGATGGCGGTAGATTGTGTCGCAAGTAGCCCAAAACGCTGGAAAGGTGATCCAAGGTCTCCAGTGCAGTTGTCTTTGAGGCCTCTGGCTCAATGCGAATGCTAGTCTCCGTCACCACCACACCATGGCTGGTTCCATCAGGGTGAGGTAGCAAGATCGGATTTACAATCGCAGACAGGAGATCCTTTTGTAGTTTCTCATTAGCTGATGTGAGTATATCCAGTCGGGCCAGTGATGTAATAGTGCTCTCAAGAGAGTCTGCATCTGCATCTGCGCTAGAGACGTGGAATTCGCCTTGTTGTCGGTCAACTTTCAATTGATCAGCCCAGCGCGAACGAAGCGCCTCGACAATCTCCGATCGCAGTAGTGATACCTCGGCGGAGAGTATGCCCATCACATTTGTATTGGTAAAGAAGGCATCCTTTCCAACAGCTGCGTCGGTAGACTCCAATTGCTCAATGGCGGTGGTAATCTGGCCATTTCTGAGGGCATCGCGCCCTGTTTCCAGCTGCTGGCACAGACGGTGCACCTCCTCTAGGGTACCCGCTACGGCCTGATTGAAGGCAATTTCCGTCTCAACCAGGACGACCTTTGCCCTTGCATCTTCAACCTTCGCCTGCAGGGGTTCGGTATGCTCATGCTGCGCGACTATTTCTCGGGCAGTCAATCTTGAGCGTTCGATGTCGGCGTGAAGTTGTTTCGCTTGGATAATCCAGTCATCGGCATCGAAGGTGGTGTTCTCGCGACTCAAGGAGCTAATCTCATTCTAATCAAGTAAAGCAGCGCTGGTCAGTATCACCGACGAGCGTATATTGACGTTGGAGATCCCGTACCTCTACTTGCTCACGCGCCTTCGATATAAGCTCGAGTTCCCTGGCCAGAGCAGCTGCCGGGAACTTACCGGCAACTACACTCTCCTCGGGATACGTGCCCTCGGTGACGAAGCCTAGCACTGCCTGGCACAGCTCTTCGGTATTTGCTGGCATGATGCCAACTTTTCCGGGTGAAATAAAGCACAACTTATCAGGGAACACAAGCCTCAGAGCTTCGGAAATAGATGGACACGTAAAGGAAGTGTCGAGCTATCAACAACCCGTGACTTTGGGCGTCACCGCCCCCACGTGGTGTATACTGTATGCTTCGTTATAGAGCTCTAAATTCACTAGGATTTTGTTACTATAAATCCTTCGAATTTGACTGGTTGCAAATAAATCCGAAATCTAATATTTCTCTTTGTTATATAAATTCTTTCAGTTGCCCGCTTTGTAAGGAAAACGGGAGATTCTCCCCCAACCTTGAAAACTCCGGGTCCAACACACTTTTGAAGACATCTCAGACTCACCGTGTCTCGAATTCTCCCAATTCTGAGTCGGACAAGTACGTGTTTCCTGTAAGTCGATGTGAATTGTGTTCTCAGTTCTTATTGCCTATAGAGGGGTATCAACCTTCTATCCCCAAATTTCTGCTCGCCACCCCACCCATGTCATTTATCCTTGGCCATATGTGGCAGGTCTGCTAGATACGTCCTGAAAAGACATGATTTGGAAAACAACTGCCTGCTGCTGCTTTGGTGTTCCATTCCAACTCAGCTCGGCGTGAATATTCTTCTCTCATCCGAGTTGTGGTTGTCGTCGTACTTGTTATCAGACTATTCCTCGTCATAAACTTACGTGCTCATGATTGTGTCAATTTTCAATTGAGGGACACAAATTGCTAACAAAAACAACCAGACTGTCAAGCTTACGGCGAAATATCTTCACTGGGTCTGCCCCATTGATCAATATGTCGCCCTCGGTGCAGAACAGTCACTTCAAACTGCTCCAGCAGTTCAAGCCTGATTACTCGCCGAGCGAGTTCACTCAGTATGAATCAAAGCGCACCGGCATGAGAGTGGTCGTTATCGACCAACCGGGACCCAAAGTGAACGGTTACTTTGTACTTGCTACCGAAATCCACGATGACTCGGGTGCTCCTCATACTCTGGAGCACTTGTGCTTCATGGGTTCCCGCAATTACCGCTACAAGGGCTTCCTGGACAAGCTGGCTACCCGCGTGTACTCCAGCACTAATGCTTGGACGGCAACTGATCACACTGCCTACACGCTGGATACCGCAGGCTGGGAAGGCTTTGCTCGTATCCTGCCAGTCTACCTGGAGCATGTGATTGCTCCTACTCTGACTGACGAAGGCTGCTACACTGAGGTTCACCACGTCGATGGCTCTGGAAATGATGCCGGTGTCGTGTATTCCGAGATGCAGGGTGTACAGAACAATGCCGCTGAGCTGATCGACCTGGCAGCCCGGCGATTGACATACCCGCCTGGTGTGGGCTTCCGCTATGAGACAGGAGGTATGATGGAACAGCTTCGTGTCTTGCCTGCGGAACGAATTCGCGAGTTCCACCGTGAGATGTATCAGCCCAAGAACCTGTGCCTGATCATCACCGGAGAGGTCGACCAGGAAAATATGCTGGATATCTTGGACAAGTTCGAAGATACCATATTAGATGTCATTCCTAGCCCAGAGGCACCATTCAAGAGACCCTGGGTGGATTCCAAACAGGCTCCCTACTTGGAGAAGTCCGCTATTCAGAAGGTTGAGTTCCCCGAGGAGGATGAATCATTTGGTGAACTCGAAATTCGATTCATGGGACCTGACTGCACTGATCCCATCCTATGTAAGATCCAAACCCCCCAATATTTGAGATAAAAAATACTTACAGTACCATAGCTGGGGCTCTTAATGTGTCACTTTTGTACCTGGCCGGTTCATCTGCAGCTCTGCTAGAGAACATCATTGTTGAGAAAGAACAGCTTGCCAGTGCCGTTTACTACGCCACTGAGGACCACCCTAGCATGGAGGTTCGCTTCACGTTGACCAGCGTGGAAACAGAGAAGCTAGAGACCGTTGAGAAGAGATTCTTTGAGATCCTCCAAGATGCCATGGCCAAGGAATTGGATCTGAAGTACTTGAAAGAGTGCATCGCCCGACAGCGCCGAACTTGGAAGTTCTCGACTGAGTCTTCTGCCTCTTCATTCGCAGAGTACGTTATCTCTGATTTCCTGTTCGGAAAGCGTGATGGCTCGACCTTGATGGATGTCGCAACACTTAAGGAATATGATGTCCTTGAAACCTGGTCCGAGGACCAGTGGCGCGCTTTCATCAAGAAATGGATCTCGGATGCGCCACATGTCACTATCTTGGGTATCCCATCCCAGAAGATGTCCGCCTCACTGAAAAAGGACGAGGAGGACCGGGCCGCTGCGCAAAAGGAGCGTCTCGGCGAGAAGGGCTTGAAGGAGCTTGCCGACAAACTCGAAAAGGCCAAGGCAGAGAACGACAAGGAGATTCCGCAGGAGTTGCTCGAAAAGTTCGCTATCCCCGGAACTGAGTCAATCCACTTCATGGAGACCAGTACGGCTCGTTCAGGTGCTGCCCTGAAGGCTGGACGCCCCGACAACAAGATCCAACCCCTTGTCGATGCCGACAAGTCTGACCAGTCCCTTTTCATCCACTTCGAGCATATCCCTAGTAGCTTTGTTCAGCTATCAGTCCTCATCTCAGCTGATTCCGTTCCCGTTCAGTTGCGTCCATTGCTGTCCATCTACACCGAAGCGTTCTTTAACATTCCGGTGCACCGTGATGGCAAGACAATTGACTTTGAGCAGGTCGTAGTGGAATTGGAGAGAGACACCGTCGGATACTCGATGGAGACCGCTCGCGGTCTTGGTAACTCGGAGATGCTCCGCGTCTCCTTCCAGGTCGAGCTGGAGAAGTATACTCACGCCGTCGCCTGGCTGCAGGAGCTGTGCTGGAAGTCCGTCTTCGATGTGGAGAGACTCCGGGCTATCAACTCCCGTCTCTTGGCCGATGTGCCCGACTCCAAGCGCAGTGGCGACGACATGCTTGCTGCTGTCCATGTGATGGTTCACTACGCAGACGAGTCGATCACCCGTGCTCGTTCCACTTTGGTGAAGGCTCGCTACCTCAAGCGTGTCAAGCGTCTGCTCGCTGAGAAGCCCGAGGAAATTGTGAGCCGCATGGAGGAGATCCGCAACTCGCTCTTCAAGCCTGACAACGTGCGCGTCATTGTCATTGCCGACCTCGAGAAACTCCAGAACCCCGTCTCGGCCTGGAAGCCCTTCGCTGAGACCCTGGGCAACAGCACTGAGTTGCGGCCCATTACTGACCGACGATCCCGACTGAGCGATGCCGGCAAGAACATTGGCGGCAAGTCTTACATTGTCCCCATGCCGACTGTCGACTCGTCTTTCGCCTACGCCACCGCCCGTGGTCTGGACTCGTACGATTCCCCGGATCTGCCCGCACTACTCGTCGCGATTTCCTACATGAACGCTGTCGAGGGTCCCCTCTGGGTTGCAGTCCGCGGCACTGGTCTGGCGTACGGTACTAACTTTAGTTACAATATCGACACAGGCTTTGTCAACTTCGATGTGTACCGGTCCCCGAACGCTCACAAGGCGTTTGAGTCTAGCAAGCAGATTGTTGAGAACTATCTGTCCGGTGCTACGCCTTTCGATCCTTTGATGCTGGAGGGTGCTATCAGCAGCATCGTGGTCAACTATGCCAATGAGCAGATGACTGCCGCCAGTGCTGCCCAGGGCAGTTTCATCCGCCAGGTCATCCGCAACCTGCCCAGCGACTATAAGGAGAAGATGCTCAAGAATGTGCGCGCTATCACCACCGACCAGATCAAGGGTGCTCTGCGCGATATCATCTTGCCGTTGTTTGACCCGAAGACTGCAAACATGGTTGTCACCTGCGCGACTGTATTGGAAGAGGTGAGTTGTTTCCCGGTCTTCACTTTGCAGATATGGATTGCTAATTTTTGATTACGAACAGACCATCAAGCAAGGCTTCGAGTCTTCCGGCTTCACTCCTACAGTTCAGCCTCTTAAGGAATTCGAGGACGACTATGGTCTGAAGGTTGGCGACGAGGAAGAAGATGAGGACGATGACGAAGATGAGGACGATGACGAAGATGAGGACGATGACGAAGATGATGATGAGGAGGACTCCGAGACCGGATCGGAGGGTAGCGAGGATGAAAGCGACGACGAGTGATATGTCTGATGAACGACTTATACATGGGTAGCGAGGATGATCACATAGACGGAATTGTGGTGTCAAGAGACTCTACAGAACCTAGACAGTGATGAATCTACTCCTTTACTTGCTGCAACTCAGTAAAACACCGAGATCTCAAGTGAAACAAAACAAAGCTGAAAAATTCGCACTATAAATGTAGTCACACATCCTTAAGAGAGGTAAATATGGTACACGCCAAACAAGACCCGCCAGCAACCGTCTTGCCTGAACCTGGATCCAATCTTGACGACTGTAATAGTTCAAGAATGGTTAAATCGGTAATTGCCCCCCTACTTTCTTTCCACCATTGCCGTGATACAGTATGGATTCCAATCAATCCAACCCACCCCAATCCTCTATGGTATAAATCCCGGCATCTTTCACGCCAACCCCCGAACGATTCAAAGGTCAGACCAGAAACGAACAAAACTACCAACTCAACTCCTTCCGGCCCTTAAGAGTCCTCCGGATAAGAGTCTTGCGCCCATTCCTGTCCTTCTTGCGCGCCAGGTATCCATGGCGGCGCTTTTGGACCCGTCGTGACGGGCGGAACGTCACACGGCGCACGCCTAGGGAGGCACTTGCGGAGAAAGAGCGGGACTGCGAGGGTGCCTTCTGGGAGCGGAGTGATGACAGGGGTGAGAAGGCGGAGGCGGTTGCGGTTGTGATTGGCGAGGAGAGGCGGGCGCCGAGTGTTCGCGAGGGTTGGAAGCGGGTTGGCGTGGAGAGGAGGGAGGAGAAGGAGCGGGATGAAAGCATTGTGGAGGGTGTGCTTAGTTGTTGCGGGATTTGGGCGAATCTATTGCCCGGTGGAGTAAATTATTAGCTGTCTGGCTGGTTTCGAGGCTGGAAATGTTGCTGGTTTGGGGGCTTTGCGTACCTGTTCATGGGGGTTCGCATGGCCGATGTGGTGGCCCTGAAGGTTGAGGGCACGGCCCTGGCGCGGAGGCAGAACATTTTGAGGACCCTGGCTTTTTTGGAGGACGATTGAGGCGGAGTGGGAGAGCTTTCTGGAGTTGGAGATCAAGTGAGGCCTGGTGGACAAGACGCGGCGTCGGAAGACAGAAAATTAAGCGCGGAGCCGCTGGCACGGACCCGCCTAGAGATGTATGTCGACAATGATGTACGGTAATTACATGGGATATATAGAGGATTCAATTGGGTTGGTCTTGAGTGTATAATTTCTACTTACATCCTATAAGGACTATATAAAGTACGTTTGTTTAGTCAATAAATATCAAACTATAGTTGCAGCGCATCCCGTTAAGAAAACCTACCCGATCGGGACTAGCGTCACCGAACTTTTTTGATCTCGAGATGCGAAATGCTCAACGTCGCCCGTGCAACTCTCCATCCTGCTTGCCAGTCACACTGAAATCGAGAGAAACTCTCCTCCCAGTTCTGCCTATACCACCACTAAGCGAACCCACTCCATAATTGCCGCCACCACCGCCCTTCAATCTCAAAAGACCACCCTCTAAACCCGGCGAAGAATACCAATTCTACCAAAATGGCAACCCAAGGTCCCCAGGCCCTCCCCCCGGTCACAGTGCAGAGCACACAGACCATCAGCCAGTCTGCGGCGCAGGAATTCCTAGCCGCCTACCTGGACCGCGCCGCGACAGACCCATCGTTGCAACCCAACGCCAGCATCAGCGAGCACGGCCCCGTCTCACGGACGACCGCCGCAGCGCCGAACCTGATCCTGCACAACCTGAAGCGCGTGCAAGCGGGTCTAGCTGGCGAGCTCCTAGGTCGCGATCTGACTGTCGCGAAGCAGAACCCCGGAGAGGACTATTTGGATGTTGCTGCCGGTATTGTGCAGACCAACAAGCACGATCAGCTGGACGAGAGCAATGATCTTGTCATGAATGACGCTGAGTTTGGCATGGAAGCTGAGGCTTTTGCGCACCAGGAGGCTGGTATTGATAAGGAGGAGCGCAAGCGGAAGAAGAAGGAGAGACGGTTGGCGGAGAAGAAGGGTAAGGCCAAGGCCAAGGCTGAGGAATCCGATTGAGTGTGGTGTGGGTATATATATTTGGTTGTGGGCGTTGCTGCATTGGGTCGGAGTCTCTTTTCTTTCATTCGTTCTATTGCTCTATTACTCTGGGCTGGGTTGGGTTTTGGACGTACAAAAAAGTACTGCTCGCATTTGATGTCTGGACAAAAAGTGTTATTTAGAGTTTAGACGGATTGCTACAATCCAATCAATACATAATGGAACATTTCCAAGCCTCGCTTTTGCTTCTCGAGATTGGTACCCCAATATGTCACTAACACAAAAAAGTCATAGCCATATCACATGAAGATCACCAGCATAACACGCATCCAGTTTACAGCTCGCGGTCCGCGGCCTTGACGGGCTTTTCACTGTCCTCCTCCTTGCTGCTAGTGACCTTGCCACCCTTCCAGCCAAGCGCAGCGAGACGCTCGGTGAGGATGGGGTGGGAGTAGTGGTAGCTAGCATAAATCGGATCAGCATCCATGGTGCTCAGGTTCTGGATCTGGAGCTTCAGCAGTGAGGAAGCAAGCTTGTCGGAGTAACCAAGGTTCTGGGCAAATGTATCTGTGGAGTATTATTAGTATAACTGAGGGTATATGATAGATCCAATGAAACATACCAGCCTCAAATTCGAACTTTCGGCTGAGGATGTTCATGAGAAGCTTCACAACAGCATCCATAGGAGCCAGGGCGTCGGAGAAGAGCAGGAAACCAATCATGATAGGTTGTTCATTCACGAATCCAAAGGATTGGTACAGCGACTTGTTGTTGACAAAGACAGAGAAGAGAGCGAAGATGTAGAACATGTGGGCCTAGGTTGTATAGTTAGTGATAATTCGCCAGAAGGGCAACTGAGCAAATTCGTACCTGGGCAATGCCGAACAGCTTGGTGGTGTGGCTGAGGCTCCAGTGGCCAAGCTCATGGCCTAGCACAGCAACAACCTCCTCGGGCTCGGTCTTCTCAATCAGAGTGTCGTAGATGACAATGTGCTTCTTCCATGGCAGACCGTAGAAGTAGGCATTGCTGTGGGCACTGCGCTTGCTGCCGTCAATGACGTGCAGCTCAGAGAGAGGGAAGTTGAGTCTCTTGGCCAGGTTCTCGACACCGGTCTTGAGTTCACCGGGCTGGAGAGGCGAGAGCTTGTTGAACAAAGGCAGAATCGCAATGGGGTAGATTGTAATGGCGAAGACCTGGAGGAAGACACCGAATAGCCAGAGGTAGTAGTAGAACGAGCTGTCAAACTTCTGGACAATCTTAAGAATGGCAGTGATAATGGGAGTTCCCAAAACAATTCCAAGCATCTGACCCTTGAGCATATCCGTAACCCAAAGCTTGACCGTCTGCTTGTTGAAACCGAACTTCTCCTCGAGCACAAACGTGTTGTAGTACGAGATGGGCAGCGAGAGGATAGTGCTTAGAATGTTGAACCCGAAGAAGAATACCAATGTTTGACAGATTTCACCCTGGAACCGATCGGGGAGATACCGAGCGAGCACCAGACCACTGAGGCCCCAGATCTTGGGGAGGACATCGCCGTAGATGAATGCAAGGTTTTGAATTTGACCGTAAAGACCGGAGACGAAGCTGAACTTGGCCTTTGCACGACCGTATGCCTGTAATGATATTCCAGTGAGCATCTGCATATGGTATAACTCCGTCATCGAGTTCATACCTGACTCTGGTCAAAGACCTCCTGGGTAACCTCCCCTGCGAGGACCTGGGGAGGCTTCGTCCGTTGCAGAAACTTGTATTGCCGAAGTGAGAGGAAACCTTCAAGGACGAACTGGCCCAGTGAAAAGCCCACAAGCACGTTCTTCCATGGGAAGAGCGGGCGATCGAGCAAGCGCGCCAATTGCTGGAGGGAAACAGTCATTAGTGACGTGTCCACGGGTGAAACCAAATTCACCATGTAAACATGATGGAATTTCAATCATATCAACTCACCTCGAGGATATACATGATTGAAATCGCGCAACTAGGCGAAGAAAGAGGACGTTGTTCAAAGGCAGAAGATGCTACTTTGTTATTATCGGCAGCCTTAGTCAGATCTCATGCATGCCCACCTCGACTATGGGGCCTAACGCAACGTCAATATCAGGAATTAAGCCTATTAATCAACTAGAATCTTCTTTATTCTCGGATAAAGGTCTAAGGTGCGAAACGAGAAGTTAATAGGAGTTAACTGGATCTTGTCTACCAACATTTAACTGCAAATAACTTGTGCTAATGCCATTCCTGAAGTCTTCAAGGCTCCTCCTATAAGGACAATACTCGAATATTGTATATCCGTCTAGTATATTGAAATCTTAGCATCCTTAGAGTCTTTCTAAATATGAAAATACCTGGTGGCTTAGGGCGCATGGTCATCCCTTTGCGGGGCGATACGAGTGGTTGTACTCCGTAGCCGTGGGAAATATATATTTCCAACATGTGGACTATCTAATGGGAGTATCTACCCATTTGCAAATGGGGCTTTTCTATCTATTTTTATTAGAGGAACGGTCCAGTTGTAAGTTGTTTAAACATGCAGAAGCTCTTAAATTGTGCGGCCCTAATTTCCCTGCACTTTTAACCACAGACCTGTATATCTACATAAGATCTGATGATGCAGACAAAAAATAAGCAATGAACAGGAAACCTCTTGAAAACAACTCCCTCGTACGATGGAAATAAAAAGCACATATCTTATTCGCCGACTTCACTTGCATCCTGTTCGTCGTCCGTCCCTCAGATCAAACCCTACCATGCAGTCGTGGACCAGATGAACTGGTCGCTGACATGCATAAAGAGGCAAAGCCGATCAAGGTGGCGACAATACAGGGTTGCATGTCTCCTCCATCTTCTCTATTCAGCCCGGGGAATCAGTTAAATCACGTCTTTAATTTTCCGACTCGTCATGACCATAAACTTTTTTGCAATCATAGATCGCAAGACTCGTGTTCGAGGGCAGGTGGGCTGAGATCGTTGTTCGGGGATATAGCAAGATTTATGTGCAAATCAAATTCTCCGACATAACAGACTTCATTCCCCAAGCTCCCCATTTCGAACTGGGAAATCGTTCAAAGGATTGCTTTACTGCTGCACAGGCTCGAGGGTGTTACCACTGCGAAGTAAAATAGTCAGCATTTGTCACCAGAAGTAATACCAAACCCATAAACTTACGCAACAATGTTGGCCCATCCAATCAAACGCCAGTGCTTCTCAATTCTGCGGCTGATGGCGATCTTCTCGCCGACTTCGGTACAGGCGGGACTGGTCAAGCTGAGCTTGGCGGCATCGGCCTTGACACCGAGGACCTTGGCACCAGTAGCGGTGGAACCGATGTTGACCATCAGGACTTCATTCTTAGCAAGCTTGGCGACCTTGGCTTGCTTGCCATCGGCGGTCTTGACACCGAGAAGGCGGCGGAGCAGGAAGTAGTTGACCTCAATCTCAGTGTAGATGGCGGGAAGACGGCCACGGTGGCCGAGAACGAAACCGACAAGACGATCGGCACGGCAAAGCGTGGGGTCGACACGGGTACCGACACCGATCAAACCACCAGGCACGGCGAACTTGAGGTCATTGTGCTCAGCGAAGAGAGACACAATGCGGGAGAAAATGGGTCGGCACTGGATCTTGCCCTGCTCGTCCTTGGTGACAAGACCGGGGCGGATCTCGATCTCATCGTTGAGCTTTACGACACCGGTAAGGATGGAACCACCGGCAACACCACCCTTGAGCTCATCGATCTCGGCACCGGGCTTGTTGACATCGAAGGAACGAATGATCATCATGTGAGGGGTAGCCTCGAAGTTGCGAATAGGGATAGGGATCGTCTGGACAAGTGCCTCGTTGACAGCGTCGATGTTGTACTTCAGCTGTGCTGAAATGGGGATAACGGGCGATCCATCAGCAACGGTACCACGGATGAACTTGAGAATCGACTGGTAATGCTCGAGGGCATTATCGCTTCGCATGAGGTCAACTGTTTTATTTTTGAAGGTCAGTGCTTTGTTTCATCGTCAATTTGCAGGAGCTATGATTTTACCCTTATTTTGGAGAATGACAATGTGATTGAGCTTCATGATCTCAATGGCGGCCAAGTGCTCCGAGGTCTGGGGTTGGGGGCAGGTTTCGTTTCCGGCAATCAGGAGGAGAGCGGCATCCTAGTAAAATGATGTTAGCCTATCGCCAATCCCTTAAATCTTAATTGCTGCAGTGAGGAGTGAAACATACCATGACCGCGGCTCCTGAAAGCATAGTGCTCATCTGTGCAAAGCTGGTCAGCATCAACTCTCAAAGAGAAGCTGAATATTCTAAGATGCGCAAGAGATTGAATACTAACCAGAATATCGTGACCTATGGTTGAAAATTAGCAGTGTTCCAACTTTGGACAGAAAGGAATCTAGCAAACATACCTGGGCAATCAACGAAACTTTTTTGTGAGATTAAAGGTTAGCTTATTTCCAATGAAGGAGGAACCTCCGGGTTGGGGCGTAGATTGGGGATTGATGATACCTGACATGGCGCTGTATCAGAAGTTAGATTAGGACCACTTGAGAAAAGGCTCTGAGTTTGGACTTCAGAGGGGAGGTGGCGGGAGTACATACAAGCAGCTGGTAACGGCCGTTACATCCTTCGCGCTCACATGGCGGGTCGACTTCCTTTTCACTCTTGAAACTCTTGTAACATGTGGGCCGGGGGCACTCGGGGCTGTCGCACTTGTAGATTTTCGCATTGGCGTAACCAAGCTTAATGGTAATGTTACGCTCGAGTTCGTTCTTAAAACGAACGGTCTGCACCTCAGAGATGGCCTTGACCACGGTGGATTTGCCGCTATAACTATATTAGTATGCTGTGTATGAAGAAAATGGCGAGAGAAAGTGTCTCACTGAGCGACGTGACCGATCGTGCCTGATAATCCTGTTAGTGAATCGTTTGTCTGGAAAAATGGAACCGAATATATGAAGTGCATTCGCGAACGTAAAACTTTCAAAAAACAACAATCACACAATCACATACCGATGTTCTG